AAAATAAAACCCGCTTATTAGAAAAGGAAAGAATGTTCGAAAACATTCCAATGACAAAGAGGGGTAAAATGAAAAATATCAGAAACTGGAAGATTGACGTCAAATGATGACCATCATCGCGCACATAGTAGGTAAATTAATATTGAAACAAACCAACAGAGACGATAAATGTTGTTAAATGAAGTATATTTTGTGAGCAGCGAGTAAAATATTACCTAACAGATTGACAACATCTGTCAAAGAGAAACAGAATCAACAGAAGAACTGCTGCACTTTTCAATAAAAAGTAACTAAGCAGCAAAATAACAGCTGGCCCTCCTGAAAGGGATTTTTTTTTGTTGCTGTTTAGTGTTGAGTTTACTTTATGACACAGATTTTGACTGCTAGCGTTTTTTTTTTTAATCAACTGTTGTTTGTTTCACATTTTTTAGAATTGAGACAATAAATAAAAAAGCCGAAATACAGGGCTTCTGTGCTTCAGTATTTTTAACGGCTACGTTGAGTTACATACAAATTTACCAAAATAACATTCTCCAGAATATTATACGTTTAAGAAGATTAATAATATAATTTAAAAATATAATCGTAATAATTATTGTTAATTAATTCCATTTTTTGACTTGCCAAGTAGCATTGTTTTTTTGTTTCTTTTCAATCTTTATTTGGTTAAAAAGGCTATTAGTTAGTATTTACTAACTATGAACTCATTCTCAGCTTTAATTTGATTTTTGTTTTTGAACAACGACATTTTTAAATCTTTCTCTAAACTAAAATTAAAATATAATTTAACTTGAATAAAACACAACCCCTCACTTTGTGGCCAGTTTTTATACAAGAAGAGGGATGGCATAAAAGGGGAGGGGGCACTGGCTTCGTTATTGGAAGCATAAAACAAAAAATAATTGAACAAGAAAAATTGTAAAACAAATAAAACCAGGAAAATATCTTTTAAACACGAGACAACAAAATCAGCTGTATTTTATAGTCGTAAGAAGTGTTTTTCTTTTAATTCCCCATGGTTGACTGAATTTCTTTTTGTTTTTGATGTCTACAAACACTAAAAATACAAGTGTTGTGTGTGTTTTTTGGGGGAAAGGCCGTAAAAATGTAAACAACCCAGTTGTTTGTTGAAAATTAGCATTCAAGAAGCTTTTCTAGCTGTTGAGGTAAATAAACTCAAACATAAAAACAAATCATTAATTACACTAAATCAGCTGTCTCTCTCTCTCTAAATGCATGGACACGTAACAAACAGCACATACAAATTATAACATTTTTTTTTCACTGCCTGCGATATGAATATTATCTAACAAAGATTAGTAGGTAATCAGGTTAGTTTTTATTTTTTAGCTGTAGAATGAAAATGAAAGAAAAAGTAATTTTTCTCCTCATACGCAACATTCTAGTTTACACATTAGTTAAATGTTGTTAAAAATGTAATAAACATCTGTAATGTCGGTAATTATACGAGCTTAAAAAGGTTAAAACTATGGCGAGTGAATATTATTTTTAAATTATAACAGTTTTATTATTTCTTTAAAAGAAACAGACCTAAAAATGAATTCTCATGATCTTGAAATGATCGCTGACAAGACAATTGCATAATAACACAAATCAGCTTTGTTTTCGTGTAGAAGACAAGAACAGCCAGAAGATAAAACGTACAAATATAGACATAAAAATGGGAGTATCCCCACCATGACGGGCAGTTAGTAGCAGTACTTTGTCTGCTCTAAAAATCTTTTCTTTGTGTTTAGTCATCTTTTTTTACTCCCTATAACTTTAAGAAGCCAAATATTTTAGGAAATCATAACTAGAAAATAAAAATGTGTTTTTCGAACCTTTCAGCGATACTTTATAAAGTTTTTGAATACACTAATTTTTTAATGTTGATCAATCATACAAAACTAAAAACTTCGCAATCATTAGTGAACAGTTCATTCATTAATCAATCTGCCTGCGTACTTACTACACACATACTACACCACTGCCAAGACCAACAAAAAACATTATACAGAAATATTAAGCCATAGGGGAGATTTTTGTTTTATTTATTTACAGAATGTGTATAAAACGAATGTTTTCTTCACTGAGTCTATATTTCAGACTATCTTCTTACAATTTATTTAACTAACAATAACATTCAACAATTTTTTAGACATAGCATTGTTACACATATTTGACAGAAAAGTGGTTGGGATTTTTCGTAGCACACCTTTTTAAAATTAATAATTTTGTCAGTTTTGGTCGAAAACTGATTAAAAATTCAAACGTAAAACCAAAATCCGATATTAACTTTATGATTACGTTTTTTTTTGGTTTTTAATGAATAACAGCAGCTTTGTTGGTGCTTTCTTTATTTTTAAGTCGCAGATAAGAGTTTCAAACTAAAATCTACTAAAAGCTCATATAAAAACACCTGATAAGACTTTTATTTTATTTGGAATCTAATTTCATTTTCAGACGCCATGACATAGGTAATAAATAAATAAAAATCCTTTAAAATGTATCAAATCGAAAAATGTGTCCATTTTTTTACAATGTTTCTTTTTACGAGGAAAAAAAAAAGACGCCATCCATCATGTCGCCAAGAAAAAGTTTTAAAATAGGAGAAAACAGGGTTTTTTCTTTTTTTTTCCGAAATAAATATAATGATAATTAAAACTAAAAAGTGATTGTTTTCTGTTATTATACAAATTATGCCAACCACAAACAAAAGAAAAAAGAAACAAAGCAAAAATTTTAATGAAAAGATTGACAGTGGAAGAAGACAAACAGCTGGGGAAAATTCATCTTTGCTTAGAAAGAGGATTTGACTTTGTTGTTAATTAACCAGAGTTAATGATTTTCTAAGCCACAGTAAACAAAATCATTTTTATTATCATGACTCATGAAAAAAGATTGTAAAGTTTGTAAACAAACAATAAGGAAGGGCTTTCCTTTATTAGTCTACTAACTACTTACTTACTACTGTGGAAAGTAATTTACTTTTTACAAAACAAATCTTGATCTTTGCAGTCCGAGCAATGTAAATAATCTGAAAATATTTTATGCCAGTTCTGTTAAAAGTAAAACTATTTTTAGAGGAATTTTTAAATGACAAAAATAAAATAAATAATTAAGTTTATAACAGAAAAAACTCCAAACTTTTTTTTTTTTTTTTTTTTTTTTCTAAACAGTAACACCAAGTCATGTAGTAAGACAAGAGTTTTTTTATGATTGGTAATCAGTGAGAAAAATAGAAACTGAAAATTGCCAATTTTAATATCTTTTTTGTCTGTAAAAAAATGTGGTAAGAAGAGAAATATATTCGGATATTAAAAAAAAACGAATTGGATACAATGTTTCATTTCAGTTCTGTTATAAATGCTTCCATCAAGTGTGGTAAATTTTTAATAGCTTTTTTTGGTTATTTTATTTACAATAAAATGCTTTAAACTGCTATTTAAGATCAGACAGGCTTTTAATTTTACTTAACAAAAATGTACTGCAATAAAAAGTCGAAAATAAGGGTCTTCTTACTTAGCATAAAACAGTAATATTGCCCTAAAAAAGCGTAAAAATCTAGTTTTAAATTTTTAATTATTCGATTTTATTGCTTGAAACAGATTGCAAATGGAAATAAGGTAGTTTAAGTTCTGAAAAAGGCCTGGGACCTTCTTGCACTTTGAAAGTAAAATAAATTATTTTATCACCCCACCAAAAAAGAAAATGAACTTGGGAGTAATGAATGTCAACACTAACAGAGATGAAGTTAAAAAAAACAAATTGACTAATAATGTAAAAAACACATGATGACCTATCAACTTTATACTTCAGTAGATATTTTTTTTAAAACAATTGCTAAGTGCTTAAGAAAATGCTTTGTAAAGTTTCGTTTCCATTATTTTTTTTAAAATCATTTAAAAACATTTCCGAATCTTTTAAAAAAGATGATAGCAATAGCTTTTCAAGTTCAAGTTAGTAAAAACTAAAAACAAAACAAGTTTATAATAAAAAATATTTAGGAAAAAGAAAATATTGCACAACTAACTGCAGGTACTCTGAAAATAAAAAGTCGAAATAAATTAAAAACAAAAAAAAACATTATTATCACATGACCATGCTACCAGAAACAGGTGTGTAGACAAGTTGCCCTTTTTTTTTTTAAAAAAAAAAAGACAGCTTGATTTGAATGCTTCAAAAAATTAAATCAGTTCAAACAAGCATTAATTAAAAATGGATTTGCAAGTATACTGCAGATTTTAACATCCCCATATAAACTTAAGCTCATTGATAAAAACTATGAAAAAAACTAGTTTTCTTTACAAAAACAACAGAACATCAGGTAGAAAAAAAATCACAAGTGGCAATGTATTTAATTTTTAAAATTAAAAGGTAAGAAAAATAACAGTAAATTCAAAGGTGAAGAAAAAAATATTCTACGTGCCTATCAGAATAAATATTTTTTTTTAAAAAAGTGATATATAATTTCTCGAACAACCGAAAAAAATACAAAATTTAAAAAAAAAAAAAAAAAGAGAGACCTTTTGTTAATTCGCACAACAGGTAATTACTGTCATGTTACAAAAATCATTTATTTGTTTTAGTTACTTCGTGTTAAGGTATATTTTTGGTCTAGAATTCTCTTCTTAGGAATAAAAATTAACACTGATAAAACAAAAAAAGTTCACATTTCGGATATATTTTTAAAAAATAAATTTTTGATTTTGATCATTTAGTTTTTTTTTACTCTGAATATCCTTTATATTCGTCAAGTCAAAAACTAGAATTTTTTAAAGATGCATTTAAAAAATAAAATTAAATAAAATAAGAACAATTTCGAACAGCGTCTACTGGTCTAAAAACAAAACTATTAATAATAATCGTACGTAATTAAAACCTGCCTAACAATAAAAATTGTTTTGTTTATATCTTTTCAAGTCATCCATAGGATTTCCATCCCTATGAAGGAAAGAGGTGGGGGGGGGCTTTTTTTGTTTGTTTGTTTTTTTACGAACCTGATAGCAAATCCGAGGGAGATCTAAGCAGACTGCACAGCAAAGAATCCCACACAGTCGTTCCTCAAGCTTGTGCTCGGCTTCATCACCCTTACTGATCAGATCCACTTTGGACTTTTTCTTGACCGGCTCGAAGTCCTCGTTAGTATTCTCTTTGTTGCTGTCATCGTCTTGCAGGCTCTCCGTCTGTATACGCTGGGGTGCTCGATCCGCCATTTTGTTTGTTTATGAAAAGTCAGCTCCCACGTTGCGTTCGATATTTATACGTCAGCATGACGTCACGCGCAGTGCAAGGGAGATCACTGCAAGTGATCAAGTCCTTTAATTTGTATTGCGAACTTTAAATATTGGGATCTGTTAAACTTAAGGTCTTCCAGTGTTTTTATTAGTTCTTCATACGAATCGTTTTTTGATCTGACAACTAAATTTTTCGCAGACACCTTTAACGATAGAAGTAATTTAATAAAAAGGTAATTTATTAGAAAAAACAAAACAAAAACTTTGTCCTGTTTTACTTTAGTGTTATTTATTTTGTAATAAGAGTTGAAGTAAAAAATAGAAAAAATAAAAACTCGTAGAGACACATGTCAAGAACTACTAGGAATTTAGAAAAATACAAACAGAAAAAGATACGTTATTATTTACCCTCTTAAATAGTTGCTTAACTATATCCTAATAAGAAATTAAATTATCCTTTATTTTCTAGGACTTCATAAAAGAAAATTAAAATACCATATTCTTTATCAAAAAACGCCTTCCATCTTTCTTTACTGAATGAATCAGTACCTGTGTTCTATAATTACTGAAATTATAGTTTTTACAAAGTTTAATAATGTTATTATGTGGGATAAAAACGGCATAAAAAAATTGTCCATAATTATTGGTCATCCTTATTTTTTATAACTTAGTCAATAGTTTAACCTTGGGTTTTGTTTAATTTATTAAATTTGCAAAGGCAGTACCAGTACTGTAGTGTTTGAGAAGAAAGACTTTAAAAGTCTATATAAATTAAGATTTGGTGAAACAAAAAAATTAGACATATTCAAATTAGAGTAGACATCAGAACGTATTCCAACAAAATGAAAACATCTTTTTATTGAAAATTATTAATAAGATACAATGAATGGATACCAGCTTAAAATAAAATTTAATTAACATAAATTCTATAAAGAAAGATAAAATTTAAATAACATTAAAAACATATAAAATTATTAATCTACAAACATTCAGCTTTTAGTCATTTATAGTTATTAGAAATTTTATACTCTTCAAGTAACACATTCAAATTGGGCCAACTATTTTTCTATTAAATATTCGTGTATTTTATGTGTCTACTACTATGTCCACATGCCAAATATAAATAAAGGACAAAGTATCAAGTTTGCATGATACGCTGAGTTGCAGATGGATGTAACACTCCCAATCAAAGTAGTAAGAGGAGTCATTAAAAAATCTTTCTGTGTCAAGTCTATTTTGCATCATATGAAAACTGTCTTCATAAGAAGAAACTGGAATAAAAAAAAGACAAACAATTTTTGTAAAACATCTCAACAATTTCTATAATATTAAAATTTTGGATTTACACTATATCTGTCTATATTTCTGAGATGAGGTAGTGTAACTATTTACACTGTTCGGACTGTTTTCCTCGTCTTAATTGCTATATTCACAACTTTTTGGCTGTTGTGCACTCTGACCTTCTTCAGGTGATATTTGGAATTTCAAACTGAACACTTTATTTAGTCCGTGGGGTAGATTGTTCTAATTCCATGTGCCATGCTTTTGGATATCTTAGTTTTACTTAATTCCCCTTGGATGACTCAACACTGACAGATTTTGCTCTCTCTACTGTGGTCATGGATTGAACTCACCAGAGATTGAAGTCAATATTTGAATCAATCAACCAATGCTTTTATCCACTGGACCATGTGGACTAAATAAAAGTTTCCCTTTGAAATTCCAAATATTACTTAAAAGAGGCTAGAGTGTACAATGGCCAAACTGTTGTGAATCTGGCAATAAAGATGAGGAGAACAGTCCGAACAATGTAAACAGTGAAAATATTTACATTTTATCTGTTTTTTTTATTTTTCTTTGTGGATAAGTCGAATATTATTACAAAGCCAAATCCCCACCAGCCAACCTTTCACAGATCCATGATTATGACCCTCTTGGGGCCCCTAGGTTAATAAAATTATGCCTCCCACTACCTCAGACAGAGCCAACTTCTAACTCACTCCACCCATCTTAAATATCTTTTTACTTGTTATACATTTCAGTGATATTTACATAGCTTGAAGTAAAATTCTTGCAAATTCTTTAAATCAACTAAAATATCTATCTTTTGTTTGTCAATAAATATATATTTTAAGAAATGCCACTATTTTACTATTTATTACAAACTAAATTAGTACACATTTCACCACAACTGCAGTAAAAAAAAACAACTCCTTTTTATAAACAGCATTATAACAATAAAACAATCAAAATAAATATAAGTTTGTCATGTTGATATCATTTCAGTTTATGAAACTTATTAGAATTTATAACATCTAGAAAATTAAAATTAATGCTTCAAGCTTTGAGGCTCCCTAGGCTGCAACCTATACTTATCTCCTATTATTTAAATATATAGTATAATTTAAATGAAACATTATTAATAACATTGCAGTAATCAAATATCTTTTACTTGTGATATATTTTATGCTAGAATCAGCAAAGCAAGTCAGGCATTAGGAAGACTTCACAACAGAGTGCTGAGTCAACACAACATTCAGCTGACTACAAAGCTAAAAGTGTACAATGCAGTGGTTTTTCCCTCCCTTCTATATGGTTGTGAGTTTTGGACACTGTACCACAGACACATGAAGCAGCTGCAGAACTTCCACATGCAAGCTCTCTATTCCATACTCAAAATTTGCTGACAGGACCATGTTACCAACCTTGAGGTCCTGGATCGTGCTCACTCCTCAAGTACTGAGTCCATGCTCATTAAGGCCCAACTCCAATGGGCGGGACATGTCATCTGCATGGAGGAGCATCGCTTGCCAAGACGTCTGCTGTATGGAGAGCTCCTGCACAGCAAGAGACACCAAGGCTATCCAAAGAAGTAGTACAAAGACACTATGAAAGCAAATCTCCAGGGGTGCAAACTCAAATCCAAATAACTAGAGGAGCACACCAGTGATCGACCATGTTGGCAAATCACAATTCATGATGCTGCTATCATCTTCGAGGATTCTTGACACCAGAAGCTCACTGCTGCCAGAGATCAATGCCACAGGGCATCATCAGCAGTGATTATGACAACAGACTTTCAGTTCCCCCACTGTTCCAGACTTTGTGCCTCCAGCTTGGGGTTGCAGAGCCACCTCCGAGTTCACAGATGAGAGGTAGATATGACATGTCATCTTCAGATTCGAAGGACAACCAACACTTTAGCACATTTAGCTTGAGGTAAAATTCTTGCAAATTCATTAAATAAATTAATCTTTTTTGTATCTATACTTTTTTGGTGCATTGTAGTCTGATTCTTATATATAATATTAGTTTAAGTTTTATACACTTTTATATACACTTTATATTCTTGTTACTTCTTTTGTCTTTTGCACATTTATTGTCCTCTCTGTTTTTGTGCAAACACTAAACATTGGAAAGTGGAAGAGATTTTCTTTTTCTTGTTCAGAAGTAAATTTGGGCAAGTCCTGATAAATATGGTTATAATGTTTGGGCTCAAGTCAGCCTTGTGCTAAGTTGAAAGAACCAAAGAAAAGGTTAATTTACTTCATAAGGGGAGGTTTTAGAAGACACGTGTGAACGCCTTGTGTTGGAAAGTGAAAAGAGAGTTCAGTTGTCAGTGGACCAAGGAAACGGACATGCCCTAACAGGGATATCTGTGTCTACATGTTACTACATCTTGGAAGAAGTGGGAGAAAGAGGAAGGAAAAGTTTGTCTTTTTATAAAACTTAAACAGTGCTACCTAACGGGCGTTTAATGAAGCCAGCTGGGGTAATAAAATTTCCGATTCCTTTATTATTTGCATCATGGGAAAATGTATTTCTGTTTCTTTTTTTATTATTCATTATTATTATTATTATTCTATTTATTGATTTTATTTCATTTCCCACATGTATTAGGAAATAAATTGCAAAAAGCAAATAAATACTTTGCAGTGTAATTGACCATGATTAAACTGGAAGAAATGCCTGACAAAAAGAATTGACAAAGTTTGCGATAAACAATAACAAAATAAAGAAAAGGGCAAGAATAATACTATGTAGACAATACTATGCAAAACAAAAGTAGGCAATTCAACAGCAATAAGACAAAAAAGTTCACAAACTAAGAATAGTGTTAACACATAATATAAAAGGGATACAGATAAGCTATCACAAAATTCTGACTTCAAAACAAGAAAGAATAGAACTCAGTTGGATGAGACCAAGAAGAAGCTTATCATATTGGCTAGGAAGAAATCCCAGCATGCATCTGTGTGTTTTTTCAATAAATTGGAACCAGCATATTTGGTTGACAATTCTCTGCATTCTTAAATACCAATGAATAAACTGCTATCTAAAATGACTTATATAATTTTTTTATATAAAGTATTTTTCAGCAGACCATGAAATTAGTAAGCAATATAATTACAGTTGCAATTGTATATGAACAATAATAATAAAAAAAATATAATAAAAATTTAAGTGTCACATGATAGTAATAAAAATAAATGTCATCAGGCCAAACCATATTTCTTTTTTTTACCAAATATTAGCACATAATTTAAAGCCACATGGCTTACAAGTGAAAACAGACTCAAATGTTTTAATACTTTATACTTTTTTGCTTTGAGGAATAGCAATTCTTTACAGCCTATTGTTTATATTGACTTCTATAATTATTTAAATAATTAAAAACAGGTTTACCCAAACTTAATTACAAATTAATAACAATAAACATTTGCCATGTGAACTCAGAAAAGAATAATCTGCAATCACAGTGCCCGAAAAGTTTGACAGACCTGCCACAACTACAGAACGTAGCTGGGAAAATGGAGAGAAGCTCACCCCACCTTTTTTTTAAAAAAAAGTAATTATCTAGTTTCTATAAGCTTTCCAGTTTGACATAGGATCATTACTTTTATGTTCATTTCTTTTGTTTTAATCATTTCATCCCAAGCAAGGCAAAAAGCCACTAAGATGCAAATTAGAGAATATGA